TATAATATATACATACACATTCTGCATCAACATATACAGTACTTTAAGACAGAAATTAATGATATGATCTTACATTTAATGTGGTCATCACAATTAGATTACATTGTAAGTCTTAGACAAATAAAAATAACACAAGGCATACCCTGTGGGTGATACAAGGGTGTGGGTCCCAACTGCCACACGTCTGGCAACACCATAGATGATCTGAATAAACAATACATAGACTAAAACACTACTTAACATTAAATATATTGAACAAAGTAATACACACATTTTATTGATTTGCATGTGTTACATCTGAATCTGTACATTACAAAGCTTTTTAAGACACTCTTGAAGTAATACCCTTTCACACATATTTCTTTGAAGTGATAGAATACATTTTAGTGATAAAGTATAGGTGTTTAGCTTCTCTTATGTAGATTTAAATAATTAGACATAATCAACATTTATGTTAGATTACATACATTTAGTTTACTTCATATAACACTTTAAACATACTGTATTATTTTAATACAACACAAGATAGAGATTATAACCATTTAACTCACCTGATTTAAAAGTATGCTTTTATGCTTTGCTGGTCTGAGCAGTTCTGTCAGTTCATGTGCTGATACACTTTGTTATAGCTGACTGAAACTGACAACTAGTTATATATATAATAAATATACGTAAAAACCTAAAATGAAATTAAAACAAATATACACAAAAAACTTCATCAGCCACTTCTGGACTTCCTAACACGCACCTGCCCAATGCTGGTAACATCATCCATGAAACGTGTGCTTATTGACCCGTTTCTCCAACAATAGAATGCCTCTGTAAATAATTCATCAAAAGGTCAGTACTATAAACCTTACAAACAAATACCACTATTAGAATCATACCTACTAATTATGTCGTATAAACTAAGCTGAACTCTAATCTTGTCAGCGGCTGTTGAGAGAAGCAGTGTAGTGGAAGGGAGATAACTCGTGTGTCCTTACTGGTCTAGATCCATGTACGTTTATCGCAGGGGAGCTCTTTCTCGCGCACAATAAAGGACTTTATCGGGGGGGGGGGGGGGGGGGGGGGGGGAAATATCCCCGAAAATACCCTAAAAAAATAATTCAACTTCAGACTTTAAAAAAGAAAAGAAATTGCCTGCCACAAAAATTACATTGCTGCCAGGTGTTTTTATTTTGAAATATTCAGGCTCAGGGTTTTGCGTAAAATAAATATGTTTTTTGGCAGCAGGAAGTTCGATACAAAATCCCAGCCCTTAAATTCAAATGACAATATTATTGCTATCCTCTTGTCCTTCTCTGCTTGGATGTATTTACAGAAATATTTATTTATGATCTTATTTACAAGGGGTCCTGCTAAAATAGTTCGGTGACCCCGTACTTTACTCACCACTGACCGACTGATCGTCTTGTCCCCCTCAGATTGGATATACCTGGCCTACCGGAGTAGTAAATTATTTACGAATGATCCCGCAAAAAGATATACAATACTTACTGTATTTTTATTAAACACTTTATGCATACAAATAACTTCAAAAGAAAACACTGAAACATAAACGAAATTTGATACCACTGAAAATGTGACTTTCATTCAGGAAGTGACCCAACCAATCCTCCTGTTCCAATTGCGTGGGTCGATGCTCATGACATCAATCACTGGATTGTGTGGTCCGGACGCTATTTTTTACAGACCGCCGTCATATCGCTGAAATATCTCTGAGTGTTAAACAAAAACCAAACAAAACATCTGTACAATGTAACGTTTAAACGAGGAGAGCATTCTTCCTTCCGTGGCTGTGTTGTAGAGGGGAATGTCCGGGTAACTCTCCATTCCTTAAAAATGACAGAGCAGAGGCCCATTATTTTAAGGAATGGAGAGTTACGACGATATTCCCCTTCTTCAAACTCATCCCTTCTTTTAAACTTTAACAAAATATTCTGTTGTGGAACATTTTTGAAAAATAAACCACAACTCATTGTTGTCTGTATTTATACTGCGTGGGTCGCCCTTGCGTGATGCACGAGGAATGCGTTCTCTGACGCTGATGCACGTGCGCCAAGCTCCGTCGCGAGCTGACATTTAATGCATGGTACACGGCTCTTCATAATTACGATGTGTCCTAAACTAGTATTATCAATCGCTTGCACATATAAATACATGCTGAAGGGGATTATAGGAAATATAGAGCCCCGAACAAGGATATAAATATATATTACTTGATTTGTATTTTCTCGTCAAAGGTTTATCTAACTGCTATAAATATGAACATTGTTGTAGGTTACCTGCTCAATCACAAAGTATATACATATTATTTTGATCTTTTATACCCGGAGTATTGGATCCTGAGGAACAGGACTCGATATACCCGGAGTATTGGATCCTGGGGGACAGGACTCGATATACCCGGGGTATTGGATCCTGAGGAACAGGACTCGATATACCCGGGGTATTGGATCCTGGGGAACAGGACACGATATACCCGGAGTATTGGATCCTGGGGGACAGGACTCGATATACCCGGGGTATTGGATCCTGAGGAACAGGACTCGATATACCCGGGGTATTGGATCCTGGGGAACAGGACTCGATATACCCGGAGTATTGGATCCTTGGGAACAGGACTCGATATACCCGGAGTATTGGATCCTGGGGGACAGGACTCGATATACCCGGAGTATTGGATCCTGAGGAACAGGACTTGATATACCCGGGGTATTGGATCCTGGGGAACAGGACACGATATACCCGGAGTATTGGATCCTGGGGGACAGGACTCGATATACCCGGGGTATTGGATCCTGAGGAACAGGACTCGATATACCCGGGGTATTGGATCCTGGGGAACAGGACTCGATATACCCGGAGTATTGGATCCTTGGGAACAGAACTCGATATACCCGGAGTATTAGATCCTGGGGGACAGGACTCGATATACCCGGGGTATTGGATCCTGAGGAACAGGACTCGATATACCCGGGGTATTGGATCCTGGGGAACAGGACTCGATATACCCGGAGTATTGGATCCTAGGGAACAGGACACGATATATCCGGGGTATTGGATCCTGGGGAACAGGACTCGATATACCCGGGGTATTGGATCCTGGGGAACAGGACTCGATATACCCGGAGTATTGGATCCTAGGGAACAGGACACGATATATCCGGGGTATTGGATCCTGGGGAACAGGACTTCTATATACCCGGGGTATTGGATCCTGGGGAACAGGACTCGATATACCCGGAGTATTGGATCCTAGGGAACAGGACACGATATATCCGGGGTATTGGATCCTGGGGAACAGGACTCGATATACCCGGGGTATTGGATCCTGGGGAACAGGACTTCTATATACCCGGGGTATTGGATCCTGGGGAACAGGACTCGATATACCCGGGGTATTGGATCCTGGGGAACAGGACTCGATATACCCGGGGTATTGGATCCTGGGGAACAGGACTTCTATATACCCGGGGTATTGGATCCTGGGGAACAGGACTCGATATACCCGGGGTATTGGATCCTGGGGAACAGGACTTCTATATACCCGGGGTATTTGATCCTGGGGAACACTATTCCCGGGACGATGACTGTATTTCCTTCCCTTGGTCAATCTCGACATAGGAGTTTTTATTCCTCCGTAATATATACATCAAGGACAAATTCCTCGCTCACGTGATCACCTGTTCACGTGTGAGTCATCATGTACAGAGTCGATGGGTCCGGCGTTAATTCACTTTCAGATAGCCGTTAAGTGAGATTTAAAAATTCAAATTGGCCTATTTCAAACACTTCTAAGGGGGGTAACTCGTGCCGTGTTATCAGACATCGATTTGAAAGTTGTTTGTGTGGAACGTCAGGTACAGTTTCAATAAACGAGTGAATCAAGGGTAGACAAATACTACTACTGCGTCTGGAATCGTCATTATCCTTTATTAACCCGTCAATACTGCAGCCACACATGCACACACTGTTGTTATATTGACAACATGTTTTATGCAGCGCACCGGTGGGAACAGTCGATATTTCTGTGGCTATTAATACTTTGTTATCATAATGACATCAATACACATTTGACAATACGTTCTTCCCGACCATGACGACATCCACCGATACGCCGACTACACGGCGACCATTGAACCACCGTTGTGTCAGTCCCGTGCGTCACGTAATCAGCAGTATGTGTGCTCGCGACGGGGGTCAGGTCATCGCGACCTAGAATATGCCCTATAAATGTGTGTCTGTCTGTGTGTTTGCGTGTGTGTGTGTCTGTCTCTATGTGTGTCTGTGTGTGTGTCTGTCTCTGTATGTGTGTATGTCTGTGTGTGTATGTGTGTGTGTCTGTCTGTGTATGTGTGTCTGTCTGTGTGTATGTCTGTGTGTGTGTCTGTCTGTGTATGTGTGTGTATGTGTGTCTGTCTGTATGTATGTATGTGTGTGTATGTTTGTGTGTGTGTATGTCTGTGTGTGTGTCTGTCCGTCTGTGTGTGTGTCTGTGTGTGTGTCTGTCTGTGTGTGTGTCTGTCTGTGTATGTCTGTGTGCGTGTCTGTCTGTGTATGTGTGTCTGTCTGTCTGTGTGTGTGTCTGTCTGTCTGTCTGTGTGTGTCTGTCTGTGTGTGTGTGTGTGTCTGTCTCTGTCTGTCTGTCTGTCTGTGTCTCTGTGTGGCTGATGTTATGTAGTTGTAGGGAAGTATTTTCCCCTTATCAGGACCAGTCCTATTCAATTGCAACGACGCAGTACTTTCTACTCAATCGAAATGTTAAAATGGGTTTCAAATGATTAATCCTTGAAACAGGAACACATGCATGGATTGTTCAGCTAGACAGCTCATACGTTCATTGATTTCCTGCGTGCGTCACGCGATCTGTGTGAAGCTTGGAAATCCCAATTCTCCGGGAATAAGTCCATTTTAAGAACCATGTAATCTTACCAGCAGTATAAAAATAGGCTGTGCCGTGAGCCCAGCTGCCTGTCGACAACCCCAGTGTATCAGCTACAAGCCAGTGCACGACTTTCTGTTCGCTGTAACATCATATTACTTCACGTCTCTGATAAACGTTTACAGTAAACTAGGTTAATAACGAACACTCTTATAACGACCTGAGCATATAACGAACTTTCTTTTAGTCCTGGCCATTTGTTGTATAGATCTATATGTTGTATATGTATTCGCTCACCCAGTTTCGGTTTGAATTGCCCAACTGTCGTTGGTCGAGAGTCGCTGTGGGCGGATCTATACAACGAACACAAGTTGTGCGTTGTGTGTTGACGGACTAGTCTCTCGATGCCGCGGCTAGCTCTGCTGTGTAAAAGGTATAGGTGATAGGCGAGTGTCAATTATGGTGGATGTTCTGCCGGCCGGAGCTCTGGGGTTGAACCCTGTGTTTCAAAACAATCTCCCATACTTATATAATGGGGTTCCTAATTCTAACATCTCCCCAGCTAAACACAAGGACGTGAACACCGCTAGCTCCGATTGGGGGTTGTCGGACGACAGTACTGTCGACAATGGGACATCTACAACTCCACCAGATAGTAAAGGCGGGTCTGGTGACTGTGCCACGCCCTTCATGAAGGACAACGGTCACATCCACAGGGTGAACGCTGACGCACAGCCACCAGTAGCGCTGAATCCGGCACCGGGTGTTCGTGACAAGACAATTCCTCTCGAGGCAGTGATTACATGTAAGACAGCTCCACCTGATGAAGAACCTCTGATTGATAAATCTAAGTTGCCACAGACACGAGACGTACAAGACGACCTTCCCAGCTACAATCAGGTCGTGGGTAACGATGCAAATAATGTGTACACTGTTATTGTACCACTCAGACAAACAGAAGACGACACGTCAAATGATGTTTCCATTCCAGAGAGTCAGGGGGAGAAAAGCTACAAAACTACATCTTTACAAGATCCGTTTTGGAAGAAAGTTGTTGCCATATTTTCAATATTGGATGTGTTACTTTTGATCACGATACTTGTTGTGGGGTGTGCAGTCAAGCATGACAAGCCACTGTCAGCTCCTAGTGACGACAACTGTCTGAAGTGTATGGATGTGTATCTTACTGATGATGACAGACGTGATAACATTTACAAGTTCGACATCAAGGAGGGAGACTTGTGCTGCTCCAAGAACCACACGCTTCTCATACAGAAGGTGATTGTAGTTCTGTGTAGTGACCCGCCCGGGGGTACAATGTATATTCGCTCTGACATAATTCCCCCTCTGGAATTGGTGTGGACCCAGAAAACCTATTTAAGATACCCTGCGATTGTGTCCTCGTTGTCATGTAATTATCCAGCCTGACTTTGTAACCCGCCTCACCCCGTCACTCTACCCGAGAATATCCGGGGTATAACAGGTCTTAAGCAAACCATGCTTGCTGTAAATGGCGATTATGCTTGTCGTAAGAGGGGACGAACTCGTTCTGGTGGCGAGGCTCGCTGACTTCATTGATGCATGTCATCGTATCCCATATGCATGGATCGATGCTCATGATGTCAGTCACTGGATTTTTTGGCCCCAACTCGATTATTTCCCGACCGCCGTCATATAGCTGGAATATTGCTGAGAGGGGCGGTAAACAAAAAACAAACAAAATCCCCCCTTATTCAGGAAAATACACAAGTAAACAATTAGATTGAAGGTGTCTCTAGTACGCTTTGTGTGACACATCTTGACGTCATGTTGTGGCTAATGAACGTGTTCTCTGTGTTTCAGTACGTCCTGAAGCGTTACAAGCATGACCATGCAAAGGGTAGGCCCAAGTTTCTCCATCACTTCCTTCTATGTCTGTGTGTTTGTTTGTGTGTTTGTTGTTTAACGCCGCACTCACCAATATTTCATCTATATGACGGCTGTCTGTAAATAATCGAGTCTGGACCAGACAATCCTGTAATTAATATTGTAGCAGGACGTGGAGTCATCCCACAGATGATCTTGTCATCTTGCTGACGGGGTTAAACTCTTTGGTCACGTGGACAAGGCGTCCGACCTGTGATCAGACGGTCCGTTGTTCAAATCCAATCACGTGACTCAGAACTGTTGTGGGCTCTACTTTGATATCATGAGCATGGATCCACGCATATTGAGATACGATGACATCTTACGATAAGCATTGTCGCCCTTTACGGCAAGCATGGGTTGTTGAAGACCTACTCTACCCGGATCTTCACGGGTAGAGGGGCGGTCGGGTAGCCTAGTTGTTAAAGCGTTCGCTCATCACGCCGAAGACCAGGGTTCGATTCCCGACATGGGTACAATGTGTGAAGCCCATTTCTAGTGTCCTCCGCTGTGATATTGCTGAAAGCGGCGTAAAACCATACTCACTCACGGATAGACCTCAGGGGGAAAATGATAGGGGGTGTGGTAGGACCTGCTATCTTTTCCTTAATGTAAACTCTACTATGTTATGTCGCGACACACAGTGACAAGTCGATATGAACAGCGTTAATGGGAGCAGCACAGGGATACGGTAACCGCGGCTGCGTGTGAATGATTTATTATAAGATACTTACAGAGGTTACGATGCAGGGTGATAAGGGATCTGTTTGTACTGAGGTCGCGATAAGGAAATAACTTTAGTGACTCGTACGAGACCAGAAATAGAACAGAAAGTTATAATGCTGCAGTCATTATACACAGGAAGTAATGTGTTCTGTGTTTGATCAGACTGATAGTTATTGTGTTAATTATTTGTGACGTTTTTATTTTACTTCTGTTTATATTGTTTCCACAGCATCAGCAGAGAGATACAAGAACATGCCGAAGAGAACCGCTGTCCATGTCGACCTTGACCTTCAAGACAACAACTCTAAAGCAAGTAAGTCACCAGCTGCAAACATTCAGTGCACTGTGTAGCACCACAATATGTAGCACCACACTATGTAGCACCACACTATGTAGCACCACACTATGTAGCACCACACTGTGTAGCACCACGCTATGTAGCACCACGCTATGTAGCACCACACTATGTAGCACCACACTGTGTAGCACCACAATATGTAGCACCACAATATGTAGCACCACACTATGTAGCACCACACTATGTAGCACCACACTATGTAGCACCACAATATGTAGCACCACAATATGTAGCACCACACTATGTAGCACCACACTATGTAGCACCACACTATGTAGCACCACACTGTGTAGCACCACGCTATGTAGCACCACGCTATGTAGCACCACACTATGTAGCACCACACCACACTATGTAGCACCACACTATGTAGCACCACACTATGTAGCACCACACTATGTAGCACCACACTATGTAGCACCACACTATGTAGCGCCACACTATGTAGCACCACACTATGTAGCACCACACTATGTAGTACCACACTATGTAGCACCACACTATGTAGCACCACGCTATGTAGCACCACACTATGTAGCACCAAACTATGTAGCACCACACTATGTAGCACCACACCACACTATGTAGCACCACACTATGTAGCACCACACTATGTAGCACCACACTATGTAGCACCACGCTATGTAGTACCACACTATGTAGCACCACAATATGTAGCACCACACTATGTAGCACCACACTATGTAGCACCACGCTATGTAGTACCACACTATGTAGCACCACACTATGTAGCACCACACTATGTAGCACCACACTATGTAGCACCACGCTATGTAGCACCACACTATGTAGCACCACGCTATGTAGTACCACGCTATGTAGCACCACACTATGTAGCACCACGCTATGTAGTACCACGCTATGTAGCACCACGCTATGTAGCACCACACTATGTAGCACCACACCACACTATGTAGCACCACACTATGTAGCACAACACTGTGTAGCACCACACTATGTAGCACCACACTATGTAGCACCACACTATGTAGCACCACACTGTGTAGCACCACACTATGTAGCACCACACTATGTAGCACCACACTGTGTAGCACCACACTGTGTAGCACCACACTATGTAGCACCACACTATGTAGCACCACACTATGTAGCACCACACTATGTAGCACCACACTTTGTAGCACCACACTATGTAGCACCACACTATGTAGCACCACACTATGTAGCACCACACTTTGTAGCACCACACTATGTAGCACCACACTATGTAGCACCACACTATGTAGCACCACACCACACTATGTAGCACCACACTATGTAGCACCACACTATGTAGCACCACACTATGTAGCACCACAATATGTAGCACCACACTATGTAGCACCACACTATGTAGCACCACACTATGTAGCACCACACTATGTAGCACCACGCTATGTAGCACCACACTATGTAGCACCACACTATGTAGCACCACACTGTGTAGCACCACACTATGTAGCACCACACTGTGTAGCACCACACTATGTAGCACCACGCTATGTAGCACCACACTATGTAGCACCACGCTATGTAGCACCACACTGTGTAGCACCACACTATGTAGCACCACACTATGTAGCACCACACTATGTAGCACCACACTGTGTAGCACCACAATATGTAGCACCACACTATGTAGCACCACACTATGTAGCACCACGCTATGTAGCACCACGCTATGTAGCACCACACTGTGTAGCACCACGCTATGTAGCACCACACTATGTAGCACCACACTGTGTAGCACCACGCTATGTAGCACCACACTATGCAGCACCACGCTATGCAGTCCCTGATGGAGTAGGGTAAACTCCCTGCACGCCATGGCTTGTTGTAAGAGTTCAGGCTCTGTTTGTTGATCGGGTTATCGTATATGTTGCTCACTGGTTTGACCGGGCCAGTCTGGATTATCTACACTTTGTCATCATATACCTGGAATATTGTGAACAGTATTCACACTGTAACGTCAGTGGTAGTCAGGTGATCAACAGATCACGGTGAAGATGTATGCTATTTTGTGAAGAGGGTATCATGTAAAGTATTCACTCGCAAACATTCGACGGAAACATTTCTAAATAACAGTGAGTTATATGTTCCTTTAGCTGTGCTATATTAACGTAACACAAGTCTTTCCCCCGCAGAGGGTGAGAACCAGCTCCTGAAGTGGAGTGGAGAGGATGCTCTGATTAACGGGCACCTGACCTTGACCTCCCCGGGGACACACATACAGTTTGCACGTGCAGGCTTGTACTACGTCAACTCTAAAGTGGTGTTCGCCGACACGAAGGCGAGTGCGGCGACGAAGGAGTCTGTGCTGTTGCTGCAGGTGTACCGACGGCGAGGCGGTCAGGAGATGCTGCTGCTGGAGAACAAGTCGTCCCAGTGCGGGGATGCTGACAAAGTCTGCAACGTCCCCAGCAGCGCCCAGGGGGTGTTCCAGATGGAGGGGGGTGACCAGGTGTTTGTGAGGGTCACCAAGCCGTGTGGTCTTGTGCTGCAACCCAGGTACAACTACCTGGAGGCCTACCTGGTGTAGCGCGTGGGAACATGTTTTACAATATTGTTGTTGAATTTCTTCATTATTTTTGTTAAACGAAAAATAAAAATAAGATATCAATCATCCGTCGTAAGTTGTGTATGAATGTTTTCTTTCAGCGAAACAAATCGTCTGTCAATTAACTTTGTGTATTAAAGTTGCCACATCGGTTTTCGATTCATACCTCAATCTTTCTTTTATTGTTCGGTCAAATCAAATTTTCAAGTGAATACTTTTTGTTGCCGGTCAGGCTATGGAGGACACGGAAACGAGATTGCATTGTAATGACAAACACAATGTAATGTCTGTATAATTTAGAACCATGACGTATAATTTAGAACCATGACGACAGTGTCAGAACTGTACATTCGAGACACAAGGTGCGCAGACAATGAGACACCAGGTGCCTAGGCAATTAGAAAACAGGTGCGCAGACAATGAGACAACAGGCGCCTAGGCAATGAAACACCAGGTGCCTAGGCAATGAGACACCAGGTGCGCAGTTAAAGAGGCCCCAGAGGCCTAGGCAATGAAACACCAGGTGCGCAGGCAATTAGACACCAGGTGCCTTAAGCAATTAGACACCAGGTGCGCAGGCAATTAGACACCAGGTGCGCAGACAATGAGACACCAGGTGCCCAGACAATGAGACACCAGGTGCCCAGACAATGAGACACCAAGTGCCTTTGGCAATGAGACACCAGGTGCCCAGACAATGAGACACCAGGTGCCTTAGGCAATGAGACACCAGGTGCCGTGACAATGAGACACCAGGTGCCCAGACAATGAGACACCAAGTGCCCAGACAATGAGACACCAGGTGCCCAGACAATGAGACACCAAGTGCCTTAGGCAATGATACACCAGGTGCCTAGACAATGAGACAACAGTTGCCCAGGCAATGAGACACCAGGTGCCCAGGCAATGAGACACCAGGTGCCCAGGCAATGAGACACCAGGTGCCCAGACAATGAGACACCAAGTGCCTTAGGCAATGAGACACCAGGTGCCTAGACAATGAGACGCCAGGTGCCCAGACAATGAGACACCAGGTGCCCTAGACAATGAGACACCAGGTGCCCAGACAATGAGACACCAGGTGCCCAGACAATGAGACACAAGGTGCCCAGACAATGAGACACCAGGTGCCCAGACAATGAGACACCAGGTGCCTTAAGCAATGAGACACCAGGTGCCCAGACAATGAGACACCAGGTGCCTAGACAATGAGACACCAAGTGCCTAGACAATGAGACACCAAGTGCCTAGACAATGAGACACCAGGTGCCCAGACAATGAGACACCAGGAGCCCAGACAATGAGACACCAGGTGCCCAGACAATGAGACACCAGGTGCCTAGACAATGAGACATCAGGTGCCTAGACAATGAGACAACAGTTGCCCAGACAATGAGACACCAGGTGCCCAGGCAATGAGACACCAGGCGCCCAGGCAATGAGACACCAGGTGCCCAGACAATGAGACACCAAGTGCCTTAGGCAATGAGACACCAGGTGCCTAGACAATGAGACGCCAGGTGCCCAGACAATGAGACACCAGGTGCCCTAGACAATGAGACACCAGGTGCCCAGACAATGAGACACCAGGTGCCTTAAGCAATGAGACACCAGGTGCCCAGACAATGAGACACCAGGTGCCTAGACAATGAGACACCAAGTGCCTAGACAATGAGACACCAAGTGCCTAGACAATGAGACACCAGGTGCCCAGACAATGAGACACCAGGAGCCCAGACAATGAGACACCAGGTGCCCAGACAATGAGACACCAGGTGCCTAGACAATGAGACATCAGGTGCCTAGACAATGAGACACCAGGTGTCTAGACAATGAGACATCAGGTGCCCAGACAATGAGACACCAGGTGCCCAGACAATGAGACATCAGGTGCCCAGACAATGAGATATCAGGTGCCTAGACAATGAGACATCAGGTGTCTAGACAATGAGACACCAGGTGCCCAGACAATGACACACCAGGTACATTAGGCAATGAGACACCAGGTGCCCAGACAATGAGACATCAGGTGTCTAGACAATGAGACACCAGGTGCCCAGACAATGAGACACCAGGTGCCCAGACAATGAGACATCAGGTGCCTAGACAATGAGACACCAGGTGCCTAGACAATGAGACATCAGGTGTCTAGACAATGAGACACCAGGTGCCCAGACAATGAGACACCAGGTGCCCAGACAATGAGACATCAGGTGCCTAGACAATGAGACATCAGGTGCCTAGACAATGAGACATCAGGTGTCTAGAAAATGAGACACCAGGTGCCCAGACAATGAGACACCAGCTACATTAGGCAATGAGACACCAGGTGCCCAGACAATGAGACATCAGGTGCCTAGACAATGAGACACCAGGTGCCCAGACAATGAGACACCAGGTGCCCAGACAATGAGACACCAGATGCCCAGACTGAATCGCTTAAAAATGAGCTTTCTATCAACAGAGTAGGGCGGGAGATCATGTCAATCATGTTGTAATTTCAGATCAGATGTAGATCAGATCTCTGTTGCGCTACCTGATGACTCTAAAGCCGACATGTTTCAGTTTCCTCGTCATCAGAGTAGTGAGGAACACAACCCTAACGCCCTGAACTCACAACTGATGACGTCACACATCTGTACACATACAACAGATCAACAAGGCTCCTGTCCTGCTTGGCGAATGCGTATAGTTGGATCATACAATGTCACGTGTCTTTCATAGCTGTGACGTGGAGTCTTGGTCATGTTTAAACACATGTCGAGGCTGTGGGAGTCACAAGGAGTCAGTGACGTGGTTCTATTTTTAGCTCTCTTTGAGAATGTTACGTGTGTCTAATTTTAGAACAATTATACCTTCAGTATCCAGATACGTTATCGTGCAGGTTTCTGGGACGATCTACTGATGATGAAATGTGCGGAGAATTATTGACTACAGAACAAAGGTTTGCATGAAGTCTTTCATTGATCTACTACAAGGTGACAAATATGCAGTGGGCAGCTTTTTGCCCCACCAGGGAAGTGTGTGGTGAAATACTGCCTGTTGTCATATCACTCTGTGGTCGGCTATTGTAATAATATATCGGACGTGGTTTACCTGGGGCATGTCGTGGACATACAGTTGCTGACGGGTCTATCTAACCGCTGCGCTATGTATGGTTGTGGCCACTTCACAATGTATGGTTGTTTGTAGTCATTTCGTGTGAAGGGGAGTCAGGGCGGTGTTAGGTTTTCATTCAGTGTTGAATTAAGATATGATCTCCGTTTCACATTTCTTGAGAATACGGGGGCACGGGTGACCTAGTCGTTTACTTCACCGCAATTCGCTGTGCAGAGTTGCGTCCCTTGGGCACGCAGAAACCAATGATTGTGGGCTCGAATCCTGGTTCGCCTCTTCAGATACTATTTACTGAAAACCATTATGACTATATTTACTGAGAGCTATTGTGGGTATATGTTTCTATTCATATCTATTTTCCTACGAAAATGTGAGGTAAACCTTGCTGCATGTTGCAGAGCCAGAACCCGTCTGTATTCATGACTCCAAGCATGAAGGTTGTCGCTGTCATGGCGGTGTCTTGGAACATCATCCTGCTAGGCGCACTGGTGGGTGTGGTGATGAACGTTGGTGCCGGAGGCGGGCAGAATAATCCGGACGTCGAACACGATGTCAAACAAGTTTGTATATCTCATCACATATTTCACTTGAGGGCATCAGGGATTCTTTTGGATAAAATAACAACAAACATACAGTTGAGACGTTTATTCCGTTTCACACCAAACATCCATGAACCTATTTCTGAGTGACTGTGTTTGTAGATGAACATTACTCTGCATGTATATAACTATTAATTGATAACATATGAACTTGGACACACGACAAGACGGCTGCAGCCTTACATAGATCTATTTCCATGTGGTTTGTTTGATCACAAGACATAATGCGTGGCATGCGAAACCAAATTGTAATGTTGTGTTATTTCCTTGACAATTGTTTTGTATATTTGAACCTTGACCCTATATTACAGGCCATCCAACATGCTGATGCCGACCTGGTGACAAGCGAGCGAGGTAATATAGAACGTCAAAGCACGAGAATAGCCACGGAAATGTTATAAAACATCCCGAAACATTTCACGAAATGTTCCGAAGATGTTTTAAAAAATGTTTTATTCACGTGATTTTGAATGGTTCCAGAAACGTTTAAGAAACACTTTCCGGAAACATTTGGTCATAACGTTTCAAATATTTTTTTCTAAAATATTCCAGAAATGCTTTTAAAAAATGTTATATTGTGTATGGTTCCATAACCATTTTATTGTGTATGGTTCTATAACCATTAACATTAACTGTGAACATTTGATTATAACATTTCTAAAATGTTTTTGTTAAATATCCCAGAAATGCTTTTGAAAACGTTTCATTCACGTGAATTTGTATGATTCCGGAAACGTTTTTTCTGTGAACATTTGGTTCTAACGTTTCCAAAACGAACCAGGGCGTCGGAAAAGCTCAGTGTTTTGCTGCCAATGTTCAAACCTACAAAACGAACTTACTGTTAACAAGATACAAATGATTATGACAAATAGTCAGGGGCCGTACACCCTTCAGGTATGTACTGCAGAAAACACAATACCAATGACCGACATGGTAATCCATGCCATGTCTTCACCATGGTATTTAACAACAGTTTCTGCAGTTACGTTTGCATCATTCACAGCCCCTGGTGTATTTGGTGTATTCCTTAATTTTCCGGGGAAACAGATTCTATTTGGCGCCAAGGGCAAGAATAACTGAAAACTATATGAAAGGACCACAGAAAATGAGTGATGACACCAGGTGTTCGCGAAAAGACTAAGCACATCCTGCCCTACCGGTGGCAACCGCTGTTCACAAGATTTGCATTAAAAGTCAGTATTTATTGCCTGACGCATCGCAGCAGAACTCCTGTCATGCGACGTAAACAAACCATGCAATCAAGTGATCGTTTGACTAGAAAATCTAGGAACACCATAGTGTATTTACTGATTTTGCTGAAAAACTATACCTTAATTTGAATTCCGTCTGCTGAATTACAAAGGCTGCTCTACACAGGGCCTGTCGCCATACTTCCGCATGCACCTTGCCAGTATCTGTATATGGAAATCACCTGTCAGCGCTGGCTTCACCTTGATTGCATTAGCTGTGGACTATGATTCACATCCGGTTTGTTATGTTTCTTTTTCTAGAGATTGAAATGCTACATCGACTTGCGAGCCGGAGTGAATCTTCTCTCAAACCAGCTTGTCATCTCGCACCTGCCCTTCACCATACTCCAGACGGTACTGTATCACTCGCTGCTCGACACAGGGGTGGATGGTGTGACGGTGTGCTTGGTGTGACGGTGTGCTTGTGCTGTGTGCATGTTGAGGTGTGAAGTCACGTGATGAGGGTGGACGTTGGGATGGTGTGACAGCCTGCTTGTGCTATGAACATGCAATGCTTGTAAATTAGGGAAAGATCAACTTATATTGTCAGGGCGTCCAAATGGTAAGAAATGTGTTTAAAAGTAGTCACGGGGTGGTCTAGTGGTTCACTCGTCAGGCGGAACACTCGGGTTCGACTCCCGCATGGATACTGTGTATTAGGTCCCAGCCGTGACGTTGTTGGAGCAACGCTGGCGGAGGAGTGAAACCCAACTCATAACAGACGTTGTGCTTATTTTCCGTTATGTTCTGCAAACGTACATATTAGTGTTCAAAGCTGGAAACTATGGAAGCGCTAAAGGGTAGAACATGATCTCTAACGATGTCGTCCGAGATGCGTAGGCCATTCAAAGACATTAACAATATTGAGTTGTGCTCTCCCTTGAATTATGATGACATTTTTTACATTATATCTCGACACCCAAACTGACGACGTCATCAGTGATCAGTATGTTGTCCCGGTGTTGTCTTCTGAACCTCAGATGCTGTCTACACGTAACTAGACTTGCTTGTCGGTGACGTGGAAGCAACATTTGGCGTGTCGCTGGATGTGGAGGCTGGATGTTGTGCTCCCTCAACTGTTGGCGTACGGTTCTGCCACAGCACCACACCTCAAACCAGGAGTTGTTGTTCATGTAACAGATGATCGATTCCGTAGATAGTTGTCTTGCTGACGTAAACTCACACGCGGATGACCGTTCCGTAGCAAGTCATGAGTGTTGCCCTGCTGTAGATAACGACTCCAATGAATGAAAGTGTTTCGATGAACACTAAAACCTCTGGTGTGTTGTGGTCGTCCTATTCCCTGTTGCAGCATATACAACGGCGTGTACACATGGGTTTTCAGCAAGTCGTGGCATTGCGTGAGCGTTATTATACGGTTAAACCAAGGTGTTTTTTGACCACCTGTTACTTTTTGTTACTTTTTGTCGTTGGTATATATACACCACATACCCGCTGCGTACCAGTGCGCTCATAGTTTACAATTATTAAACGCCCAAGTTATCACGAGACTTCGCCAGCCAATAGGACGACATGTGGCCTACCGTTGTGTGTAACATATCAGCAGAACACGTTTGAAGTCGTGGCATCAGTTTGTTTGTTTCTTTCTTTATTGTTCAACGCCGCACCCAGCAATATTCAGTATCTCGTGTGCACAATATATAATATTTTTGTCCTATTCATGTCAGGAAACAACTATTTGTTTGTTATGTAATTTTTTTCAATTGGCTTACAGGCAACAATCCTGGACTGCACTGGCGCTACAACACAGAAATCAACTTCTTGAACTCCGTGGACCTTGCCCCCGACGGCTCGGTGGTGATCAGACACCCAGGATTTTATCTCATCTACGCAAGGGTAGTATTGATGAATGCCCGTGTATCACCCCCGTCATATCACAAGGTCTGTTCAGAAAGACAAGTGTTTATTTCAAATGCCTATATACGTCATTCATTATCGATGCGGGTTGTTTGTATAGTAATGTAGTGTGGTCATTCCTTCTAAAAGCGCATAATTCCTCGCGTATGATTAAAAAAGATTACATGTTCCAGATTCCTGTCACGTCCAAAAATGAGCGGTTACTGAGATCTAAACGTTTGCATGTCACAGTGTTGACGTCATAGTTGCCCGAACACCAGAGACTGGCAGTAGCTTCAGGATCTGGACGTCCTTGTATTTGGGTAATGTGATGAGTAGCAGATCCATGAAGTCCTGCGAGATTCAGTTTACATCCAGGTTGACGTGTTTTACTGTTCCGTTTTCCCTTCACTCTAGATTGCGTGCAAGGACGAGTCGACTGACCGGGTAGTGACCACCAGTGTGGTGTTGCTGGACGCATCTGGTCAAGCCATCACTGCGGCGCAGGACACCCAGGCCAGTCAGTCGGCGCCGGGTACCTACCCCTGCCGGGCCACCTTCCTCCAGTCTCACGTCAACATCCGTGACGTCACTAGGATCATGCTGGTGTCCAACATCGGGGCCAACCTGGACACATCTCCACACAGAACATACCTCGGCATGTTTCGCACCTAGCATACAACCCCACTGCCGTTGTCAGGGAGTGAGTGAGTGTGGTTTTACGCCGCGTTAAGCAATATTCCAGAAATATCACGGTGAGGGGTCATCATAAATGGACTCCACACATTTTCTTCAGATGGGGATCGAACCCGGGTCTCCGCCGTGACGAGAGGACCCTTTCACCACTTGGCTGCCCACATACATCTGTTGTTGTTTCATCAAGTAGTACAGACTGATGGTGTACTTACCACGTTGTCGGGGCGATGGGGTAGCCCAGTGGTTAAGCTTTCCCTCGTCAAGCTGAAGACCCGGGTTCGAATCCCAACATGGGTACAAGCTCATTTCTGGTGTGCCTAGAATATTGCTGGCATATTGCCAAAAGCGGCGTAAAACCAAACTCACTCAATTACTCACCAGAACTTCAGTTGCTCATCACAAACGTTTACGAAGTTCATAAATAAGTCTTCAGTTGCTTGTAAATCAATCAGGGCCAACGTGGAGTTTTCATGTGTTGATAAGATGTGATTAGAGGAAGAGTTGGGTATTTGAAGTGAACTGAAAACAAAAGTCAATCATTTCATTTGCATACAGAGCCAGCTGGAGGTGTTACATTGAGATGTCTTACATTCTGAGCATTTACAGTTTCTACAAGCATTACATTTTTCACTTCTATTTTTTTAGCAGTTTTTATTTATTTTATTATATTTTACATGACAATTGCAATAATGATACTTGAGCTAAGTGTTGACATGCCAATTGCCAGTAAATATGTTATGACACAATAACCGGCATTGATAAAAGTAGTGAAATCAGGAACCTAAGATGGTTGAACATGTGAGGACAGAGTTGAGTTCTTGCTGCAAGAACCAGAAACTTGGTTTACGCTTAGTGGATTTATAGCTGAATATGACAGATTTGAAAATAATTAGAATTACGTGTATTGGGTCGGGTTTTGTTGGAAAGACAAAGCAGAATATATGTCTTATTTCAGTTTGTCTTGAAAGCAGCTTCGAAGGCCTGGCTAGTGTTAGATGTAGATTCCCAAATGGGAACATAAATCTGTACCTAAAAGAATTTAGTGTGAAACCAACAAACAACCGACACGTGGTATACCATCAACAATTTAATTACACAATTAACTAGGTTTACAATTCAATACACATGACTACACATCAATTACAATCGCAGTATGCAATGGCAGTATCAAATACAACATAGGATGGCAGTGGTGACAGTTAAACGTTCAGTGATAACAATATCCACAATAATGGTCAAGCATCCGAGATAGGCTTAGGCTGGGAACCCGGGGTGAGAAGTGCTCTTCACACAACCGCTGGTCTTGATGTAATGTCAGATGAAATGTGAGATGATATAGGCACGTCTTCGTCCTCTTATATAGCCCAGACACCTTCCAGAATATTCTCTTCAGTCCAGGCGTTTCCGGTAGCATCTAAATATTGTAACTTTCTCACCACTTCGTTAAGTGTTGGCTTCCCTTTGTCCATTGCTAATCACCTTTCAGCGCCAATTATCTGTTGGCTGCCCTTGTTAAGTTTCCACCTTTGTTATCTTACTATCATACTACTTTTGTTTTTCTTACAGGTATATATATATATATATATATATATATATATATATATATATATATATATATATATATATATATATATATATATGTTTTACTGCTTCATATAATTTATTCTACCGATGAAAGAATAAGTATATACTCCGAAACGTTGTGTTCCTCATAATAAAGAAGTTTACATCCATAGATTCTTTTCGTTATGTTTATTACTTCTAAATGTCTTTCAAAGACTTACTCACAACTGCTGACATTAAGTAGTTCTACATTCCTGACAACTAATCATAGTCCAAATACAATGCAATGAGCTTCTACTGAATCTGAACAGAAACAGTGTAATGCAGCTACACTCATTCTTTAACAATACATTACACTGCCACATTACACCAGATAGATGTTACCTTTCTGCTATAAATGAATGTCTAAATGATTTGTTACCCAACAATAGATCAGCTGCTTCATATTATAACCTACGTAACAAACAGAACATGACTGTACCTTTTGCCAGAACAAGTACATTTCAGAAATCATTTATAATAGACAATTTATTACAATGGGATTCACAAAACAAAAATGTTAAAAAAGTATCACTGTAGCTGAATTAAAAACACAAAATTATCCAAATGTTATGAAATCTCCATATTATTTCAGTTATGAAAAGCGTCAAATTAATATTATCCGCACAAAACTTCGACATAGATGTAGCAATCTAAATGATGATGTATTTGGGGTTAATTTGTCAGACACTACTTCTTGCCCTTGCGGTTCCCCATGCGAAAATGCTTTTCACTATTTTCTTGAATGTAAAAAATATTGTTTAATAAGACAATCGTTGTTTCTCAACATTAGGAATATAGGGACTCAACCAAATTTAGAAACAATTCTTAGTGGTAACAAAAATCTATCCGAAGAACAAAATAACCTAATATTTAAATATGTCCATCAATTCATTGTAGGAACAAACAGGTTTTAAAACACATTTTTAATTGTATCTGATGTAACAAGAATTATATTTCATGAGCTACTTCCAAACTATCTTGATTTTACATGTGACCTGCATATTTAATACATGGTTGTTTCAATACAAAAAGTCATAGTTATATTTTAATATTTTTTTATATTTTTTTTTATTAGTTTTGGTATTCTTTATAACTCTGTTTTTTATGTAAAACAGTAGCATTCACTGTAATCATCACAGCTTAGATATATTCTATATTTCCCGCCCTTCATATAAATTAAAAATGTCTATAAGTCCATTAACTACTGTGTTATGATATAAATATATTAAATCTCCTTCCCAAATGTACCATTGTATACCAAAATTATATATATAAACATAGATTTATCATATGTATATGTGTATGCGCGTGTATATGTATATGTGAGTGTATGTAGGTATATGTGTTTGTGTGTGATACTGTATATATATGAATATGTGTGTGTTATTATATTTTCTCATTACTTGTATATAATTCCTATTCCCTGTACATTTATTCTGCACAACCATTTTTCACATATTACATTGCAAAGCAATGTATATAGGAGAAGGCCTCGTAAGTGTCACTTGTGCCTCATCCATATGATTTTCCGCAACAACATATATTAAAACCAAACCTTACTACAATGATAAACAAGCCTACCGTAGAATATGATGTTGGAGTTTATTCTGGAAAATGGTATATGGTTATATTGTTGCATGTTTGTATTGGTGAATCATTTTCTAGTATATGTTGCCATTTCCAGCAATGCAGATTACTGACAGTGTATTTGTTATTTAAGGATCAAAGTGGCTGTCCTTTGATTAATTAAGAAGACACTTCAAATTGTAAGTTTGAACAGGTTTCTCTTGTGGAACACTCATGTTTCTATCTTGTTCAGCAGTTTACGTTTTAATAATGCTGAAGATCATGTTTTGTTTGATTATTTTGAATGAAAACACTTGGAACAGAAAATCGTTTGAAACGTTACCTGAGTTAATAAAAACGTTACATTATTTTCATGCTGTTTTCGGGTTCTTGGGATTGTTGTTATCAATGTTTGGTCTTTGCTGCGTGGCGACTCTACTCTACAAGAACAATGATATCCCAGCTGGTGAACTACTGTCAAGGTGCAGCATGATGCACGGACCAGTGATTGACGTGTAAATGACAAATGATGTAAAACCTAGATGTGACATGTGCTAAATGTTATCAAGACAAAGTGCAAACTTTTATTAAGACAAAGTGCAAACTTCAATTAAGACATAAGGGCAAAATGTTATTAAGACAAGTGCAAAGTATTTTTGTCATTTTATGACCAGTGGACGTTTTCTCTAAACATATCGGACGTTTTCGCTAAGTACAAAGGACGTTTTCTCTAACGCGGCGGCCGTTCGCTCTAATTGACCAGCGGACGTTTTCTCTATAACCCCTATGACAATGAAACCTCAACGCACATATACATGTTACACATGAATACAAGCCAAGTAGAACAGTATCGGTTTCGTGGCAAAGTCTCATTGATAGGCGGATCCTGGGGGGTTCTAGGAGGTCCGTCCCCTCCCCCTTTTTGAAAACCAGTTGTAATATGTTGTATGTAGTAAATAATCTGAGAGCGGATTTTGATATTTTGAACCCCTCCATTTTACAAATGCTGGATCCGCCCTTGTCATCGTTTTCTCTAAGACTTGGAATTCTGTATAATATATTATACTATTGTTATTCCATACACATTTGTATAATCAATACTTGAATTGTACACTAACGTCTGCTAGCGACCCGAATGTAAATACAGTTCAGTTCAGTCAAATGCAGTCTCCAGGTAAACAAGTATAAATAACATTCATGCTTAAACACGCGGCGTGTCTAATCCTGTTCCCAGATCGAGCAAGGTGTTTATCGCGCTCCGCCCACAGTCTGCATGATCAGGTCCGACGGCAGTTACTGCACACGGACACATAATCACGGTGAGCACAATCAGGTCGGGGAGAGCCCGTCTGAGTGCTGTGAGTCCGTCGTCGTTGCCGATATCCACCAGTAGACACACACAAACTGGCTGCAGAAGTAGGTCATCTCACTGCACACCTATTAGTGTCTGGTATTCATGTTACCGAGCTCCAGCTTACCGCGGCATATGACGTGCAATGTTATTGAAACGAGTCGGGCCAATGACATGCGCCCAATAGGGCCGACTCCACCTCCATGCAATGTCTGATCGATGTAGCTGCAATGTTGTCTTGTTCAATCCAGGTGCTGACATTTTTTTTAATAATATCTGTCATACCAGGAAAAAGTATGAGGAATATAACAGCGCCACTCTCGAGTACATGTGTTCGTATGACAATAAAATATTACCTATAAAAAAAAAATATCGATGCCTCTGGCCTTGATACCAACATACACACTGGGCCATACACTGCAACATTCGTAAATGACACACAATTGTACAAACTTGATTTTCCTGAGACTTCATTAAGTCTTCTGCGACATTTTTCTAGTGTGCACACGAAGAGAGAAAGCGCTTCACACTACTAATTGTGTTGGCAGTTATATCACTAGGATTCTGCCGTTTCCCTCTAAAACCGCAGAGCTTGTTCTATTTATAGTAACGCGTTATCACGTCACACAAGTACATTCAGCGCCACTGACAGTGAAACAGTTCAACCTCGTGTAACGGGCTAATAAGAGCAGTATTTCGCCTTAGAACGTGAGTATCATGGTGTCATTTAAATTTTAAATATTATCCTATCAAAGAAACTGATGTGAATGTGTTAACAGAATAGTTGTCTGACAGACTGACATAACCCGATCTATTTCACCAGCTACATGTAGTCTGTGTGTTGTGTTGGGACTACAGGTTACGGAATATCTGAAGCACGGAACACTTGATCTCCCGTCGCCCTCTGTGTGTTGTCTTTGTATATAAGGTTTGATGCCAACCCAGGCTCAGAACTAAACAATAAGTATATTAATTATAGTTCAGTCATGTATTTTGTTTACCTAATCGTGCCCGGGACATGACAGAACCCCCCTGGTGTGTGAAGTGATGTGCGTGATGTAATGTGTGTGACTTGATGTGTGTGAAGGTGAGCTCGTGTCCTGAGTAGCAGTTTACTTCTGTCTTCGAAGTATCAGGACATGACATGACTGACATGACACACCCCGTGTCGTGTTTTCTGATGTCCTAATTCAGTAAACAAGATGGTGGAGGTCATGGCGGCCCGGTAGTATGAGGCCAACTTTGGAGGCTGTAGTTTGTTAGTTTATTTGACCTATTTTTGGACAAAGTGAACACTAGCTGTGTCAGCGTGATCCAAGTAAGTCAGGATGCGGGTGTGTACAATATTTGCTTGCGGGTTTTCCTAACAAAGGGAAGTAACTCATTCATGGTATCTCATTGTACATGTCAATTGAAAGAGGAAATAGAACGACTCTCCTTTCATTGGTCACGGGTCCATTTGTTACATTATGGTATGTCCACCAGGCGCTAGGGTATTAGAGCTCGTGGTCTCTCCTGAACAGAATGATTCAGTTATGTTTACACAAGTGTTTTGTTGTCGAAAACGATTATTTCACGTTTGTGTTATTCCATGTCGTCAAGGTCATACATGTATGATCAAGCTTTTCATTTCTCAATTTTTATATTTTGCGTATATTTTCAAGACAAAATATTCGAAAAACTATCAACTTGTGCATGTTTCTTAATAATGAAGGAATCGTTTTATGAATTCGCTCAAAGTGGATGGAATGCTTCTGCTTATCCTACTGAGTCAGTTCTTTCTGCGTAACGTCCTTGTCTTTCAGACCCAACACGGCGCAGGATGGATCGACCAGAGAACTGCCTCCAAGCATTCATCAAGAAATGGGTAACTATGATCGCTATCACGGTTCAACGCTTTGTGTCATAAATAAGTTTGCTTTGCCTCTGCACCTAGTTGGTAGTGTGTGACGCTCTGTGATATTCTGTGACGCTCTGTGGTATTCTGTGACTCTCTGTGATATTCTGTAGCACTCCGTGATATTATGTAGCACTCCGATATATTCGTCCGGATGTTAGTATGTTTCATAGTGTATCTTTGAAAAATACGAAGGTGTCTGATTGTCTATTATTATAGAATGAATCCTATTCATATATTCTTCGCTTTTTCTGTTTCGTAGATTTGTTTGTTTTAAAAATGAAACAATTATTGATTGCAAACTGAATGTAATGTGGTCATATAATGACAAGTGTGTCTTGTGCTGAGGCAACCAGATATTCTAGTCGCCTTCTCACTGTTACAGTCAGGGATGTCCATTTTCATTGTCTGGACTCTTTGAAATAGTGACAACATTACATTGAAGCTGGTCTGAAGTTTCCAATATTCCCTGTGCCACTAGGAGTGTCATGACAACACACAGCATGATTCTCATTTGGTGGTTTATTGCATTTCAGAGAAAACCCAAATACGCTGCAGTTATTGCCATTGCCGTGAACGGTGTTCTCCTAGGCACCATCACCATCATCATCATCATAAAAGTAACCAAGAACCACGGTAACACCTCGGGGGAACAGCCAGTGGCGGAACAAGACATCGAGAGCCACGTTAAACAGGTCAGTAAGGAAGTATAAGAACAACTGATGTCTGGAGCACGTTGGTAGGAAATCATCTGTTGTTTCTTGGCGACACTAAGGCAGTTACAAAGTCTTTGTGACTATTAACTATATACATCCATTCGGCCGAATAATTTGTTCAATAACGAATGGTTCAATAACGAATTGTTCAATAACAAATTGTTCAATGACGAATTGTTCAATGACGAATTGTTCAATGACGAAAAGTTCAAAAATGTATGGTTCAATAATGAATAAGAAACACAAGTACAGAAATTCGTAGGATCCTCCAGGTATCCGGGTTATATATGTAGGCAATAGCTTTAGGCAGCTGTTTCAGTCTGACTAATGATGTTTACCTTTCTGTCAAGAAACGCTTGTGATTTAACTCACAAGAGAAACTTCTTTTTTTCAATTGAGGATTTCTTTACACGACGCGAAATTAATTATTTTGTTCGTCTTAAAAAGGGAGTAATATTACTTACCCCAGCTTCCTGGCTAAATTGGTAATCGGACCCTAGAGTACTGGTGACTGTGTTTGGACTGACAGTGTAACACCATCATGGGTGTGATGAAGGGGTGGGAGTTTATGCGGTATCACACTTGTTCTTATACTTCACCATCAAACATTGTTTCCCAAGGTCATGTGAAAATAATATGCCTGTTTAATACTTGAGATAATTACTTAACGAGCTATTTCCGCCGTTAATGGGATCTCAACGTTTGCAAACTATATCCGCCGTTATTCAATCTCGACAACAACGCGCTATTTCCGCCGTTATTGGAATCTTAACGTTAGCAAACTTCTTCCGCCGTTATTGGGATCTCAACGTTAGCGAGCTATTTCCGCCGTTATTGGGATCTCAACGTTAGCGAGCTCTTTCCGCCGTTATTGGGATCTCAACGTTCGCGACCTAATTCCGCCGTTATTGGAATCTCGACGTTAGCGAGCTCTTTCCGCCGTTATTGGAATCTCAACGTTAGCGACCTTTTCCCGCCTTTATTGGAATCTCGACGTTAGCGACCTTTTTCCGCCTTTATTGGAATCTCAACGTTAGCGACCTTTTCCCGCCTTTATTGGAATCTCAACGTTAGCGACCTTTTTCCGCCGTTATTGGAATCTCAACGTTAGCGAGCTCTTTCCGCCGTTATTGGGATCTCAACGTTAGCGAGCTATTTCCACCGTTATTGGGATCTCAACGTTAGCGAGCTATTTCCGCCGTTATTGGAATCTCGACGTTAGCGAGCTCTTACCACCGTTATTGGGATCTCAACGTTAGCGAGCTCTTTCCGCCGTTATTGGAATCTCAACGTTAGTGAGCCCTTTCCGCCGTTATTGGGATCTCAACGTTAGCGAGCTCTTTCCGCCGTTATTGGGATCTCAACGTTAGCGAGCTATTTCCGCCGTTATTGGGATCTCAACGTGAGCGAGCTATTTCCACCGTTATTGGGATCTCAACGTGAGCGAGCTCTTTCCACCGTTATTGGGATCTCAACGTTAGCGAGCTATTTCCGCCGTTATTGGGATCTCAACGTGAGCGAGCTATTTCCGCCGTTATTGGGATCTCAACGTGAGAGAGCTATTTGCACCGTTATTGGCATCTCAACGTGAGCGAGCTCTTTCCACCGTTATTGGGATCTCAACGTTAGCGAGCTATTTCCGCCGTTATTGGGATCTCAACGTGAGCGAGCTATTTCCACCGTTATTGGGATCTCAACGTGAGCGAGCTCTTTCCACCGTTATTGGGATCTCAACGTTAGCGAGCTATTTCCGCCGTTATTGGGATCTCAACGTGAGCGAGCTATTTCCACCGTTATTGGAATCTCAACGTTAGCGAGCTATTTCCGCCGTTATTGGGATCTCAACGTTAGCGAGCTATTTCCACCGTTATTGGGATCTCAACGTTAGCGAGCTATTTCCGCCGTTATTGGGATCTCAACGTTAGCGAGCTATTTCCGCCGTTATTGGGATCTCAACGTGAGCGAGCTATTTCCACCGTTATTGGAATCTCAACGTTAGCGAGCTCTTTCCACCGTTATTGGAATCTCAACGTTAGCGAGCTCTTTCCACCGTTATTGGGATCTCAACGTGAGCGAGCTATTTCCACCGTTATTGGAATCTCAACGTTAGCGAGCTATTTCCGCCGTTATTGGGATCGCGATGTCAGCGAGCTCTTTCCGCCGTTTTTGCGATCTCGACGTTCGTATGCTATTTCAACCAATATTGCAATCTCGACCTCAGCCAGCGAATCCTTTACTGCGATAATATGATAATATTATTGGAAATACCCTTGCATATTTGCTATCTCGACGTCAGAACGATACATTCGTAATTGATATCTCTTTGTTGGAGATACATACTAGTTCATTTGCGATATTAACGTGACAGATATCTATCAGTTATCGTCAAGATTACCCAGGAAACATCGCGATCAAAGAGATACCAATATCTCTGTCGCGAAGCATGCATTCGCGATGGCGGCAGTGGTATGGTGCGGTAGTATGGGCGGTGGTATTGTGGTGTGGTGCTGTGAGGTAGTATCGTGCGGTATGATTGTGCGGTGGTGTTGTGGTATGTGCGGTGCGGTGGTATGGTGCGGTAATATTGTGCTGTGGTGCGGTGTTGTGTGGTGGTATGTGCTGTGGTATGTGCGGTTTGGTGTTGTGCGGTGTGATATGGTGCGGTGTGGTGTGGTGGTATGTGCTGTGGTATGTGCGGTGTGGTGTTGTGCGATGTGATGTGGTGCGGTGTGGTGCGGTGGTATGTGCTGTGGTATGTGCGGTGTGGTGTTGTGCGGTGTGATGTGGTGCGGTGTGGTGTGGTGGTATGTGCTGTGGTATGTGCGGTGTGGTGTTGTGCGGTGTGATGTGGTGCGGTGGTGCGATATGTGGTATGGTGTGGTGAGGTGCCGTTCGGTGTTCTCTTATGTTGTGTTTTATACATTGCGATGTGAAACGCTGTGTGAGTAGTCGTAGTAACAGACGTAGTGTTAGTCTTGGTAGCGGTAGCAGTAGTAGTAGAAGCATGTTATGTGTTATAGTATTGTAGTCTACAGTACCATAACATGGTACAGAAAGGTGAGCTATAGCTACATGTTGTTCGGGTTATAAACCTGCATTGGTAGTAGAAGCATGTTATGTGTTATAGTATTGTAGTCTACAGTACAATAACATGGTACAGAAAGGTGAGCTATGTCTACATGTTGTTCGGGTTATAAACCTGCATTAGTAGTAGAAGCATGTTATTTGTTATAGTATTGTAGTCTACAGTACAATAACATGGTACAGAAAGGTGAGCTATGTCTACATGTTGTTCGGGTTATAAACCTGCATTAGTAGTAGAAGCATGTTATTTGTTATAGTATTGTAGTCTACAGTACAATAACATGGTACAGAAAGGTGAGCTATGTCTACATGTTGTTCGGGTTATAAACCTGCATTAGTAGTAGAAGCATGTTATTTGTTATAGTATTGTAGTCTACAGTACAATAACATGGTACAGAAAGGTGAGCTATGTCTACATGTTGTTCGGGTTATAAACCTGCATTAGTAGTAGAAGCATGTTATTTGTTATAGTATTGTAGTCTACAGTACAATAACATGGTACAGAAAGGTGAGCTATGTCTTCATGTTGTTCGGGTTATAAACCTGCATTAGTAGTAGAAGCATGTTATTTGTTATAGTATTGTAGTCTACAGTACAATAACATGGTACAGAAAGGTGAGCTATGTCTACATGTTGTTCGGGTTATAAACCTTCATTAGTAGTAGAAGCATGTTATTTGTTATAGTATTGTAGTTTTTGAATAACATGGTACAGAAAGGCTGTCCATGCACAGACATTGCGTCCATCCATTAACTGAAGGTGAGCCACAGTGCCCAGTACGCCTAAAGCGTTAAAATAATAGTTGTGTGCCTTTAAAGAACGGATTGTGCATCGTCATTTCAGATTTAGCACACCATTATCACTATTTGTATGGCGTATCCTATCTAGATAACCTCCCTTCCCAAGAGTGTATTTTTACAATAGTCTTGAGCATTTGTAATCAGAACTCCTGGCTTCGATTCGTTTGTTGCCATTGTTATATTGTCCTCTGGAAGGATGAACGCCAAGTGAGCTTGTGTTTGTAAAACTCGGTAGATCGGTGGCGAAATATGAATGTTTACCTGTCGCTGTTGGATATCAAGTCCAACAAAACAACAATAATCGTCAGCTACCAATATTAAAATATACTAAAAAGCTTCACCACATGTTTCAAGTTGACTCTGCCCCGAATGAGCTACACTGCGGTAAACTATTTCAATATGGCGGACCCCTGAGTGACATCATGTATGATCAAAGTGCAAACAAACACTGACTGTCGCATATATTATTTATTTAAATAAACGTATTGAGTATCAGTGGAGATTGAGAGACATGGGCTCTGGCCGTCATTAAGAATTGACTTTCACTTTCTCGGAGTTCATTGTGAGTATGAACCTTTGTATAGTGAGGGCCAAACTGTGCACGTCGGATCTTTATATCACTAGTTTACCTGGAAGGACGTACACCTTGATCTACACACTTATATTTAGTACGTGTGACTTCATGTTTACACTGACAGCCGTACAACAACCAGCTGTATCGTAGTATAAAGTTGTTCTTCAAAACGAGAGGCGACATGAGCTTCTGTATGCTCAACATGCTCGACAGGGACAACCTTTGTAGTTTCTGTAAACAAATGTACACAAATAATATCCTCATTACATAAGAAAGGTCTGTAAAGAACTACCCCAGTAAGTCAGTCACAATGACAGCGCGTCATAATACATTTACATCAAGTACAAGACGTCAAAATGGCCGACACGATAAACATGACGGGAGTGACTTAGGAAGTTGTTTTTGAACCTGTGGCGGTTACATGTGTTAGTCATCACTGATCACCTGGCCTATCATTGAACGGTGAAGAAAGATGTGTCAAACAGACACTAAGGTAAATTCATAGATTGCTGGAGACTGTC